GTCATTATATTTTTTCCGGCAAAAATTCGAAAAACACTATAAACTGGGCTCTGAGCAGACGGAACTTGGGCAGATGTTGATCGGCCCTGAGAATTGACTTGATGCTGTTGATATTTTTGTTGTTGTTGCTGAGAATTTTGTGGTCTTGATTGTGATCCTTGTTGTAATGGAAGCCGAACTGAGGTTTGCATTTTTGGTTGAACTTGCTGCGGCACTTGACGTCGGGAATGGAGATCAACTTGCATCTGAGCTTGAGCTTGGTTTCTTTGTTGAGTTGTCAATGATCCTTTTCTTTGATATTGAGAACCCGCTTGCACGTTTGTTGGTTTAGCCTTGTTACTTCCGAAAGTACTCGACACCGATGCAAGCTGTTTAGGTGATTCTTCCTCCTTTTTCTTTGATTTTCTTTTAAAAAAATTCATGAACCTTCCACCTTCTTTTTTCTTTTCTTCTTTCTTCGATTTTCCTCCTTTCTTTTCGTCTCTTTCGTCACTCTTAATAAATTCATCAAACGACATTCTTATTTTCGTAGGATCATTGCCAAAGATCTTAATCGATTTACCGTCAGACTGAAGCTCCTCTTCCTCGTCGTCCGAAAAATCCATAAAATCACTTCCCACGGTCGGTGTCAGTGATGTTTTAATGGTTTCACCCGGTCGATTTATAACTTGTGTGATGTCTGAAGGAATATTGGACGCAGTATTATTCTGTCCGTTCGTGTAAACATTCGATTGCTTCATCTTTTCATCATTCGTATAATCGCTCCTTTGCAAGATCGGTGACGCAACAGGTTCAGAATTTTGTTTATAACTGGGTCGGTCAAGGTGTTGTTGCTCTATCTGCTGCATGTCTTGGCTATATCGTGGTGAATCTCCTTCAAGAATATGATATTGATTCTCATCGCTAGATGTTTCGTCAAATTTTGGAGATTTTCCTTGTCTTGTATCAGAATTTGCATAGTTGGATACTGGTGATTCAACCGTATCATCTGAATCTTCAGCCTTTTCATGGTTTTGTGCACATTCGGTTGTTGCTTCGGTATCATTTTCGTATGATTCGTCACCTTCAGAATATTCTAAACTACTGTCGTCCACATCATCAAAATAGTCAAGAGGCCCCTCAGCTATTATATATAGAGGGGAGTTAAAAGAAACAAATTTCCCTTGTCCTTTACGCTCCTTTTTTAGATAATCTTCCTTTTTGTTATTTATTGAGGATGCTAACTTTTGTTTGATATT